TTTTAAAATAACTCCTTAAGGATTCAATGTGGCCTGAATATGGGCAGCTCTCCAAGAGGCCTCGAGATCTTCATTGCCAGATTGGAGCTGGTGAGACACCCTGCCTCTTTACTGAACAGTTGTTGGATTCTCTGTCATTCCAATGTGAGACAGGCATGGTTGGACTACCCAGACCTAATCCTGTAAGCCACTCTAATAAATCATACTCTCTCTCTCTCTCTCTCTCTCTCTCTCTCTCTCTCTCAGACACACACACACACACACACACACACACACACACACACACACTCAATTCTCTCAATTCAGTTCCTATAGATAACCCTGGGTCGCAGTGACTGGGAAACAGTAAGAAAACAAAATAGAGCATTAAACAAAGACTGTGAAGAATGTTCTGGGACACTTACATCTGGCTTCAGGGCAAGCCCAGTCATCTAACTTCTTTCCAATAAGCTTCACCACTTAAACCTCCAACCATCTCCCAGTGCTGCCATAGGCTGGAAAACAAGCCTTCAGCACACAGCCTTTTGGGGACATGCCACATCCAACTATCACAAAGGCTACCATCGGAGGGAACTAAAAGAGATAACTTTGGAGATGAACCATTGTCCTTCCAAAATTGGTCCAGAGACAACAGGTGGGCACTGTTCCAAAAGCAATGCAGAGATATCACAGGGATAAAATGAAATTCTGGGGTCAAGTAATGCAGCTTTCCATTCTGGTTCTGTTCAGAAAGGGATGTTTACTTAGAGTCCACACCTGTCAAAGATGACATGCTGTGATCAGTGGAGCTCCACCTATAGACACAGGCAGGGATGTGTGCCTGTGATTGTAGGGAGAGATCTTACTAGGCACCTGTGGCTACAACCACACCTGTTTGGGCATGGCCACGGGTGTGTATGTGAGATAAAGACCTGGGGGGAGGCAGGTCTCTTGCTCTTGGGGCTCTGGTCGGGTCTCAGAGAGCAGCAGAGACTATCGTAGTGCTGACACTCGGTTATCTGGTTTCTCATGTAAGTGATTTCTCCCTAATAAAATAACATAAGACATCCCTATCCCATGCATGGTAATCTTCCTCTTATATGTGATGGTTAATACTCATTGCCAACGGAGAGGATCTAAAATCACCCACAAGACAAACATCTGGACACATCTGTGAGAGTTTCTAGATTGGGCTAATCGAGGTGGGAAGACCCATCCCAAATATGGGAGGCACCATTCCATGGCCTGGATACGACAGGGTAGAAAGGAGACAGTGAGCTAAGTGCATTCATCTCCCTCTGCCATCTGCCTGTAGATGTGATATGACCTCATATGTCTTTTCCCCTGTAATTGACTACCCCCTCAAATTCTAAGCTAAAATAAACCCTCTTCCTTAAATTGTTTTTGTCGGGTTTTCTACCATAACAATGAGAAGGTAACTATGCACTGCCCATCTACCCATTGCTGGTTCTATGAAACAGAGACCAAGTCCCCCAAGTCTTTGTCATCTGTGGAAAGTCTAAGATGCCAGGGACAACCCCAGAACTGCCTGGGACCACTGCTCTGCTGCAGAGATACAAGAATGAAACTTCAGCCCAGCCTCTGACTCTCCAGAGTAAGCAGCTGAGAGATGCTACACCCCGACCAGAGGTAGCTAAGATGCAGGATAGCACAGCTTATTGGAGCTGTGTAATTTGTTTATCTACATTTTAGGTGGCTGAGGTTGTTCATGGGCTGCCAATAAATCGTGTGGTTTGGAACATGACAGCTAACAAACACATGCCATAAATCCCCAATTTGGTACATAAATAAAATATATCAACCATTTTTAATGAAAAATGCTACCTCTGTTCAATAAATGTTAGATTGTTGCTTAATGAATATTGGTTTGAAAGGAGCCAAGACTATTCCCAGGGTGCCCATATCTCTAGGACCTACCTGGAGCAAGGGAGAGTTTCTGATGGTTTGGTAAAAGAATGTTTAAGCCTAAGCAATCCTTTGGAAATGACAGCCTTTCTCCACTGGGATGTTTGTAGAGTAAGGATGAAATTAGAGGGAGAAAAACTCCTTCCAGAGAAATAGATCCAAGGGACTTGGGGAAGAGAAAGGGGACTCTGGTGGTCCCCAGACTCTGGGAAACTGAGTTGTGGTGAGGGGTAGCTTGGAGCTCCCCCTTGTAGTTCCTTGTAGCTCCAAGGGACTCAGGAAAGAGAAAAGGGATTCTGGTTGTTTCCGGACTTCAAGAGACTGAGAAGTTATGGTGAGGCATGTGTAGCACATGGAGGGATTGTTTTCCATTCCAGCAAGACAAGAATGGTTTCAGATAATGTCCTGTTGTTGCATTCACCTATCAGCACCAATGGGCTTGGAGCAGATGTCCTGTTTTCATTTCTGCAATGGTCCTCTCACTACAAAGAGGCCAGGCCCCACCTCAAAATTCAGTCTCCTGAGTTAGTGGGGAATATGAAGAGTTCGTCTCTACTCATTATTGGCTTAAGACAGACAAAATGCAAAGGCATGAGTCACCTTAATTGGTTCAGGCCAGGGCCAGAACATCTCTGTTGCATTGTAAGGAGACCAAAGCTGGCTTAACCACCCAGTCTTGATCCTCTTGTGACAAAGGAGAAGAATTCCTGTAGAAGCCTAGCTCATATTCCTAAGTGTCCCCTTGAAGCTCTATTACAGAACTGGTTACTAGTGACTCCTTATGGTACTATACTGAGAACTTGCAACTACAAGGCTGAGCCCACTATTAGAGAGGACACTATTGATTAGTTATATCTACTAAGAGTGCAGGCAGTGGTAGCAATGTTTCTCTATTAGCCTCAGATAATTCAAACCTAAGAACATTATAGAAGTTAAGTTCTACTGAAAGCTTAATTTATCACGCAGGAATAAAGACAAATTTCATGTAACTGCAGAACCTGGCTCACAGCTGAGGTTGTCCAATCTTTATTTCTAGCATATATCCAGACTGTTGGTGTCATAGGAGCAATCTGGACTGGAGATTCAGTGGACTGCCCCCTACTCCTTTGTTCAGCTCAAATTCTGATTTCTACAACTGGGTTAAGAGGTTGTTCCTTTAACCAATACTCACTTTAGGAATGTCTAACACCCTTTAGCAGGGCCAGGTCAATTGATAGGGAAAACATAAACTTCTAATGCCAGTATAGTAACTGAAGATATGGGAGTGATGGTGACTGCAAGCAGGGAAGCTGAGTGTCCTTGTCTTACAGGTTAGACCAAAAGTCAAGTGACTTGCTTTCCTAGGTGGTGCTATTGGGTGGTAGTAGAGCCTTTAAGAGGTGGCTCCTAGTGGGAGGTCTTAGGTCACCAGGGGTATGCTCTTTGCTCCCTGGCCATGAGGGGCGTGGCTTTGCTCTGCCACTTGCTCCTGGCATGATGTGCTGTCACAAGCCTAAACACAATAGGATGAACTTATTACAGACAGAATCTTCCATAATTCTAAGCCCAGATAAACCTTTCCTTTTTCTAAGTTGAGTGTTTCAGGTACAGAATGCTGGTGGTCAATATGGTTGTTGTGGGTGACTCATTCTGGGTCTTAGTTCGACTCATGGCCAGATCCACATGAATGTAAAAGGCTGGGTGAAAAGACCTGGCATGAGAAAAGAGTCAATCTGTGAGTCAGTCATGCTGGGATAAAGCTAACTTCTTACACAGGTATTTTTTTATCCTCCGTACAGTGATATTATGGGGGTATGAGACTGCTAAGACTGTGTAACAAATGCCACAGGCTTGATAATTAAAAGACAATTATTTTCCTCACAATTAAGAGGCTGCAAGGCTGAGATCAAGATGTGCTGGGGCTGGTTTTTCCCAAGATCTCCACCCTGGGTTTGTAAATGGCCATCTCCCCACATCCTCATGTGGTCTTTCTCTATGTCTGTGTCCTAATACCCAGTCAAAGTGTTAGGGTTCCTCCTAAAAACATTTTACCATTATTTCCTCTTTGTAAATCCCCATCTCCAAATACATTCTGGGTGGTCAGGGTCTAGGAATTCAATATATGAATTGTGGGGAGAGGTACATAGTTCAGCCCACAAAAGACAGGACAGTATCCCCAGTTGAAAGATGGGGGTCTCAATATACTGGCCAGCAAAGAGCAGTGATCATTTAAATGTAAAGTGCCTGTTGTTTGAACTACTATGCTCTGGCCATATATGTTCTGATCTTGTTCATGTGCCTGTGTGTGTACATGCTTGTGTATGTGAGTGCCTGTGCTTGTGTGTGTGCGCATGCATGAGTGGGCATGTGCATGCTGTGGTGCACATGTAGATGTCAGAGGTATCTTGACCTATCATCTAGCTTGAGACAGGGTCTCTTTTGTTATTCATCATCACATGTGCTAGGCTAGCTGAGGTTCTTCTTTCTCAAGCTTTCCATCCCACTGTAGGTGTGCTGTGAATAGAAACCCATGCTACTGCCTGCAGATTTATGGGGTATATTTTACCAACTGCTATGATAAAATACCCCTGAAATAAGTAACTCAAGGGGACAAAGGTTCAAGGTCACAGTCTATCTTTGCAGGAAATCACAGCAGCAGGAACTGGCAGCAGTTGGTCACATTGTATCCACAGGCATGGAGGCAGTTGATCACATTGTATCCACCAGACTAGAAGCCGTTGTTTACATTGTATCCACCAGACAGGATGCCATTGGTTACATTGTATCCTCCAGACTGGAAGCCGTTGGTTACATTGTATCCACCAGGCTAGAAGCCGTTGTTTACATTGTATCCACCAGACAGGATGTCATTGGTTACATTGTGTCCACCAGACTGGGAGCCGTTGGTTACATTGTATCCACCAGGCTAGAAATCCGTTGGTTACATTGTATCCACTGTCAAAAAGCAGACAGCAATGGATGTCTGTGCTCAGTTCACTCTTTCCTTTTCCTACAGTCCAGGATCCCAGTCATGAACACAGTGTCACCCTGAGTAGTTGGCTCTTCCCACCTTAAATAACCTAACCAAGATAATTCCCTACAGGCATGTCCAGATGCCCTTCTCCTATGTGATTCTAGAACCCGTCAAATTGACAGTTGAGATTAACTGTCACACATTAGTACTAGGTACCAACCTTACTTCATGCTTGTGTAGCAAGTGCTCTACCCGATGAACCACCAACCAGTTCAGTCCTCAGTCTTCTGACAGAAAACTTGGAGTGTACATTTGCACGGTACCCCTTTGCCACCATCGGTTTTGTTGTGGCCACAAGAGACTGCTCTAGGAAGGTAAAGTACTGACAGTTTCAAAGCAGAGCACTGACGTGATTGCTGAAGAGAAAAGGGCAGAGGATATGGTTGAATCTGGGATGCCCGCCCCCTGAACGTCCTCTCTTGAATGCTGGGTCACCAGTTTGTGGGACTACTTGGAAGGCTGTGGAGGTAGGGCCTGCCTGCTGACAAGTAGGTCACTAGCTGGTTCCTTTTTAAGGTTACACCCGCCTCAGATTGCAGCTGCAATATCCGCTGCCTGACTTGCCACAACGGAGAAACCTCAGCCGCAGGGCTTCTGCTGTACCTTCACCACCATGTTGAACAGAAATCCTTTTGAAATCATACAGCCCTTTCTTACATTGTTTCACACGAGTGTTTTACCACAGTGGATAAAAAAATAACTACTACAAGGAGTTTGGGTTATTTAAGTGAAACTTACCAGCTCGGCGTGCACTGCAGAAAGGAGGGAAGTTAACATGGAGCTGCCTGTCTGACTGACCTCTGTGCTTCCTCACTTCGACATGCCCCCACATTCCTGCCAGGTGCTGGCCCTGCCACCAGCTGCTGTCTCTTGCTGACTGGGCATGAGAAATCACACAAGCTGTCGCCTGCTCTCCAGTAGCACCCTGTGAAAGCCCTGGGTCATTATTGTGGCTATCTGTGATTTTTTTCTTCTGTCACCACACTTCCTTCTTTCTCTGGGGACTATCATTCCCAAGATTCTGCCCTACATTCTTCCCAAGAGTTGCCCCATCTCAAATGACTCCTTAACTTGGTATGATCTAGGCTACCCTAACCCAGGAGTCTCTGGCCAGTTCTGACCCCTGGAGGCTGCCCAGCTTCTTATTGTATAGAGGAAGTAGTTTGTGGCAGGAGAAAGAACCTGGGTCTTTCTCAGTGAAGCCATGGGGATCTGAATGATGGCAGTGAGCCTTAGGTGATCCTAGATCAGTAAATCCTAAAGCCAAGTTGTTCCTATTCCCTGGGTTCCCTCCAGGATCCATTGATGAGTTGAAGACTGGCCACTGAGGCTAGAGGATCAATGATAGCAATCCCTCTGCTCTCACCCCTGTTCCAAGAACTTTCATGCATAAGTCAATGGCATCTAATACATCCCTGTCTCTGACATGCTTCTTATGTGAACATGATAAGAACATGACATAGAAAACCACAGGGTTCATGTTCTGGGAAGGGGCTAAAACATCTCATCACCAATAGATATTCTGTGTATCTTGGCTGTCAACTTCTTAGAGTTTAGACAGAGGTTTATTCAGATAAGATGAAAGCCAGTTTTGCTTTTTGTTGTAGCAAAGGCAAAGGCTGTACCTGAGATGATCAAGGTAAGCTTAGCATGAGAACATAAGGTTCCCATCTTGGGAAAAGTGGCTCCTACTTCCTGGGAACTGTCTACTGCTGCAGTTCTGCTTAGAGCACTAGGACTTGTCAGGTAGCCTGCATTTTGAAATGCATTTGCTCATCCTTGATGGAAGGCTCCCTAGCTATCTCCAGCTGTCAACAGAAGGAAAGAATTTCCATTGTCCTTCTCTGGGTATTTCTGAGATAGATATACAGCTCACCTGCCTTAGAGCTTTTCTTTTAAATTCAGATTAAAATTATCCTGGAGCTCTTGTCAGAGTCCATTCTTAATTCTTTTATTAATGAGACTAAGAACCCCAACAAGGAAGCCAGATTTCTTTGGTAACAGTTGTACCACCAGGACTGCCAAGATGCCCAAGTTTCAGGCATCATAAGCACGCTCTACAAATGCCCACCAGAGTTTCATGACCTTGCTGTTACTTGAGTCTTTAAAAGCTGATGAAGCTTAAAGAAGCCATTCACCAAGCGCAACTGAAATAGCTCAGTTGGGAGAGCATCAGACTGAAGAAGCCATTCACCAGCTCTCCATCTAGTTTCATTATTAACGGTGGGACTGAGGTTCCATGGGATATTTCTGTAAAGGCTACTTCCTCTGTTCAGGAAGTCCGGCTCTCATCTATCCACCCAGACTCTATCACAGTTGGCTTGACTCTACTTCCCTTCACCTCTGTGGCTGGGTTATATAGGGGCCACTCACCACCAGCATATTCTATTCAGTAGCCTCACACCTCCACCATGACTGGTTTATTCAAACAAGACCAGCCCACCCACCACTATTACTGTCTTTAGTTTAAATGAACTTATGCAACTGCAAGACCTAGTTAATCTAATTAGGCTCCACCCTCTCCTAGATATCTCTGCAAGAGACTAGATACCCCAAAACTAGATGTGGTTCAGATACGAAGAAGAAAGCTCTTGGAGATTTTGAAGTGGGAACAAAGGAGTCCACTTCAAAGCCTCACGTTGCTGGATGCTTTGGGGCTTAGATTAATCCTCTCTCTCAATCCCTTCATCTGTGGAAAGAGTGTGCTGTGTACCTCACAGGCTGTGGTTGGGGATCAGTGAGCACATGGAATGCATAACCACATCACACCAGGTGGTGTTTAGAATTTCTCTCACAGGAGCAAAATCAGATGTTCCTGTGTGCAGCAGTTTTTCAGCTTCAGATTAATCTGGGATGATTGAAATGCAGATTCGGCGTCTCACTCCCAGAAAGTCTGACAAAATAGTTCTTTATTTATCTCTTTGACTGTGAGATTCTCACAGTTAACACAGCCACACCACATTGCAAGTTGCCTCCAAATGGGACCCATGAGGAAGCGGTTAGTGTCTTGACCACTTGCAAGGAAAAAAAAGCAGTCAAGAACAGCCACATTCCTTGCAGAGCAAGTGTCAGAATGAGACATTTTACAAGTCACTTCATGTATCCAGTGTTAGAAGAGGCCAGGGGAGTTGGCGACTGCAGATGTTGAAATTGTGGCAGCGTTTTCCAATGCTGGTGTGCAGCAGCCGCAAGTGGCTAACAGTACTATTTTCAGTTCTGTCTCTTCTGGCTCTGATTTTAAGAACAGATAGAAAATAAATTTGCTGAGACATTGTAAAGCCGTCTTTGTTGTAAAATCCTTGGATTTGGAGAATCTCCATCTAGACTGATGACTTCATGCCCCTTGAAGACCTCATAAAATGAAGATGTTGATCTTCACTTTTAAGCACCAGTGTGTGAGTTATGTGTTTAGTGCTAGACAGCATGCAGTCAGCCCTGCACATCCACAGATTCCATATGCTTGGATTTGCCCAATTCATGAACATGTGTGTGCATGTACATATATGTGTGTATGAATACAGAAATGTGTAATATGTACAGACTTTTTATGTGTTTACATGTTCATGTGTATGCAGGTGTATATGCATGCAGGTCAGAGGTCAACCTTGGGTATTGTTTCTTAGGAACAGGCACCTTTTGAGACTAGGTAGAACAATTTAGTTCTCTCTATCCCTCCAGGCCCCCCACCTGTTTGCAGTAATTCAGGGCCTGAGAGACAAGGTGCTTACATTTATTTTGTGGATCATGGGAATTCAAACACCTCATCACATTTTCCTGGTGTGGTGTGTGGCCCTAGATTCCATTCTCAGCACCAAAACCCACCTGGTCTGGTCATTCTTCCCATCTTGTGGAAGAATGTAGAAGTCCATGAGGCATACAAGGCTAAAGGGAGGGTGCGTTTCTTCCAGCATTTAGTCAGCTAGGACTGTCCTGGCAAAGTGCCATGGACTGGGAGCCTAACAGAAGTCACAGTATGATTCTGCTGCTAAAAGTCTAACATCATGGGTCCAGCACACTGGGTTTCCATGGAAATCTCTCCATTGGTTTTTAAATTGCATCTCCCCTGTTTATCACATGATCTTCCCCTGTGACTATCCCTGATGTCTATTTTGACCTCAGCATGTAAATTGGGAGTTCAGGGCTTTGGTTGAGACAGAATGTATCTCAGACTAGGATCCTGTGTGAACTGAGGTTTATGTGGTCAGTCTGTCCTGCCTTAAGTCTAAACTCCTTTGGTTTCTGACAGTGGATTTGCTATTCTGCAAGAATTGGTTAACAGTGCAAGCCTATCAGGCACACCCCAGGCACACTGAATTGGAAGCTGCACTGTGTCAGCATCCCTAGGTGACTCACACATGATTAAAATTTGAGGAGCACCTTGAATTTAAAATAACTCTCCCACGCTTAAGCTTGAAGGAATTTCACAATTCCATCCTGGCAAAGTACATTCAGTCTAGGCTCACTGAACTCCACCAGGGAGCTGCAATGATGGGAAGCCTCTGATGCAGTTGAAGCTCAATTCATCTACCAAGCAAACTGTACACCTAAATGCTGTGCTGTACCCCCAAACACTTAGAGCTGGGAAGCTGAGAGTTGAGAAGGACTTGGGAGGAGCTGAATGAGTAAACAAAGAACACTCATTTAGCCCCAAAGAACATTAGCAATACATGGGACCCAGCCCTCTCATGCAGTGTTAACTCATCCCTGTACCCTTCTTATCTCCTTCCCTACGCCCGACCAGCTTCCACGCAAATGGTGGGAAATAGGAGCCACCAGCATGCTGGAATGTGCCTGTTCTGCATGTCCTGCTCGTCTGATACAAAGTCCATCAGCATCATGTTTGTGGGAAGGAACTGACTGCCCCAGGAACCCTCCTTCTTTTCACTTGGGGACCACTGTTTGCCCTGCCCCGGTCTGTAGGGTCTACCCCCATGGAACCCTCAAGACACTTGGAACAAAGAAGGGAGTTCCATATGGGCTCTTCACAGATCCCCAGTGACTGCCACAGCCCTGCCACATGTGTTCAGGCAAGTAAGCATCAAACAAGTGCAGCCTCCAATTCTGCCTAGAAGCAAGGTCTTATTGAGCATCCCACCAATGCTGGTGGGATGCAGCCACAGGTCAAGGGGACAGCTGAGGCTGGTAAAAAGCTCTAGAACCCAAGGGGATGCACAGGGACAATGGAGGCAGTGTCGGGATGTGTCCAGCCTGGGCACATCTAGTCTTTCCTCTGGCTTGGTCAGGTAGTTATGACAAAACCAGTCTCATCCCCAGTGTTGCCCACAGACACAGGAGCTGTGATCGGAAAACCCAACATAGAATCTTGAGGGGTAGGAAGGATGAGATATGCAGTACTTGGAAAAAGAGGCAAACAATTTATGGAACAAGTCGCTTGAACACTAAGCCACCTGAGGGTGTAGAGCTTATAGGGAGATTCTTTTTCTCTTTTATAAAGGTTTATTTATTTTTATTTTACATGTATGAGTGTTTCGTCTGCATGTATGTAAGGGTGCTGTATGTGTGCCTGGTACTCAGAGAAGCCAGAAGGTGGCCCTGGATCCCCTGAAACTCCATGGAGTTCCAAAGGTTGTAAGCCACATGCAGGTGCTGGGAACCAAACCCACCTCCTTTACAAGAGCAGCAAATATCCTTAATGATCAAGCCATGTCTTTATCCTCGCAAAGACTCTTTTTAATTGTCTTTTCCTAAGGACACAAGACAGTGTGCATTGAAGAATCCCAATAGAACCTGGGCTGTAATCTGGTCACCCTGCTCCCTAGCTGTCACTTGTGTGGACTGTCCTGCCTCAAGCCAAGGAACATTCTCCCCTAACCTGGTACTTGTACATCCTACAGGAAATCACCAACACTGATTTCTTTTGCCTCTGAATATGGGCATGCCCAGAATGTGGTGACATCAGACCACCCTGAAAATTCCATGAAATACAACCATATCTTCTTCATGCAATGGCTCTTTCAGTATCTGTGGGGCTACATCCCATGATCCAAGCCAAGTGGACCTCTTCTAGCATTGTTCCAGTGTTTAAGCAAAACAAAACACTCAGAGAATGGGGGAGAGTGTCTCTTTCTACAGATTTGTCCCCTCAGTTAAGCCATCATGTACTGATGCTCCATTCATAGCTGTTATTCAAGGAACCAATCTTAGGAACTTCTTGGATACAAAGATCTGTGGATCAAGTTTTTTTTTCTATAAAATGTCTTACATCTCCTCAGTAGCCCATGTACACCTCTTATATACTTTAAATCACCCTGAGATCATTTATAACACACAATGTCAGTGTTATGCAGGCAGAGGTATAAGGAATAACAGGATACGCCCATTCAGCACAGAAGCATCACTGAATTCTGGGTGTTTTCAGTCTGTGGCTGCTTAAATCTGTAGATGGAGAACCCATGAATATGGAGAGCCAACTGCACATTCTGTAAACTATGAAGTAATGGAATAATGAACCCATTTCTGCTGAGTTCACATATGCCCTTACGTGTCTTATAGTCACTCACTGGAAAGAATACGTGAAGAGACAAAGTTGCTGAGGAGTGTCGCCAACCCTTCAGTGCTGGGTGAAGGAAGAGGAGGACATGAAGACTCCAGAGAGAGTGATGCTACTGTTGATAAATGCAAGAGAGCCTGTTGACGATATTCCTTGTTTGCTGTTACTGGAAGAATGAGGCACTCTATTAGGATGGCTAGAGACTTGGAGTCAGACTGCCTGGTTTTCATGCCCACTCTGAAACCATGCACATGTAACACCCTTTAGCCTTAGTTTCTTCTTAAGGGAATTAGGATGGCAGCCATAACTCTCATCCCATTTGTTACAGACAAGGCTCAGTAGACTGTCAGGTGTGAAGGAATCAGTACTTTGTAGGGTAAAAGGGCTAGCCAAAGACACATACCCTGACCCCGAGACCAGAGCCAAAGAAACACACCCTGACCCCGAGACCAGAGCCAAAGAAACACACCCTGACCCCGAGACCAGAGCCAAAGAAACACACCCTGACCCTAAGACCGGAGCCAAAGAAACACACCCTGACCCCGAGACCAGAGCCAAAGAAACATGCCCTGACCCTAAGACCGGAGCCAAAGAAACATGCCCTGACCCCGAGACCAGAGCCAAAGAAACACACCCTGACCCTGAGACCAGAGCCAAAGAAACACATCATGATGCCAGACTCAATTCACTGGCCCTGAAATCAGAACCAAAAGGTTTAAATAAGGGCCAGTGAAAGAAACACACCCTGGCCCTAAAACCAAAGCCAAACAGGTAAGAAAAAAAAAAGCCAGTGAAAGAAACTCAGTTTGGCCCTGAAACCAGAGCCAAAGAACCATACTCTGCCCCTGATGAATTCAGCACAAAACCCAACCAACCCCTGGGCAGGAAAACTAACCAATCCCTGAGCACAAAATCCAGCCAATCTCTGGGCTTGTTCAAGCTCAGGATTTGCAATTCAACCAATTCCACCCTGAAAATCTTCACTCTGGAAAAACTCTGTCTCTAAGAAGCCCTATATAAGCCCTGTGTTTGTTCAGTTGAGAGCTGCCTTTTTCCACCCTGGCTGAGGCAGCCACTCTCCTGGATTCCTCCCTCCCAATAAATCTCTTGAATGAAGTTTGGGTGACAAGTTTCTTTCACCAGAGTGGATCAGAGCAGAGAAGTAACAATATTTGTCTGAGCCAGAGTGGAGGAGAGTGGAGCAGAGCTGTAACACTTGACTGTGAACACCTTCCCCTAGCTACACTCCGGGTGTGCTGAGCCGAGCTGTAATAACCTCACAGAGAGAAACCAGCAGAGTTGCCTGTTATATTGGAGAAACCTTTCCCTGGAGCAGGGCTATAAGCTGCTATGCATACAGTGACTTGGTATTCCTTGGCTCCCCAATGCCAGGGTACTTCTTTACCATCTGAGCTGCAATGCTTACATACTTGTCATGTGACACATGCTCCCTGACATTTGTTCCCCTAGAGAAGGGCATCCTCAGCAAATGCAAATTAGTGGGTGACAGTGATGATACCTGAGACACTGTGACCACAGTGTGGCTATTAATTCGCAGGTCCATTTCATAGTTATGACAGGGGTTTTAGAAGGACTCAGACAAGAGCTACAAAAGGGCAAAAAAATTGCCTTTTTTCAGACATAATTGTCACTTAAAAATGTTTGTTGATGGTTGGTTGGTGGTTGGATGAATGAATGAATGGATGAATGAAGACTACTACTGCCTCTGAGCATCGAGCTTTTTCACCAATTAGGTATGCATGGAGATGAGGGGTCTTTCATTCATTCTCCAGTTTTTAAAATGTTGGTCTCTTCTCTGCAAAAGCCCAGGGAGCAGCTTGAGAGGGCAACAGAAACACAGTCCACAGACTTAGGTATTA